TTGCTTGCATAATGATAATCTGTAAATAGATATTTTGGGGCATCAGCTTTTGTTGGCTTTGTGGCATGGAAAGTACAGCAGTGTCATTGCTTTTTGAATTTTTTTTTTTTAATTCCAAAAGGATTTTTGACTTTAAAGCTTGGTAACTATTAACATTAACTATTACCCAGATTAAAACTCTATACATTAAAGTTTATGGAGATGATACATTATTTATTTATTTGTTTTATTGCCGTATTGTAATTATATATAAATTGGACTCATTATGTCATATTTATACATGTATATAACATAATTTGAGATGATACATTTTTTAATCTTGTCATTCCTTTACAGGTATATATAGAAGGATATGTATTCATTTTTTTAATAAGCTGAGCTTATTAATTTGGAAAGCATTGTAATTAGACAGGTATTAAATGTGCATCTACATGGCTCTGGCATTGATGGACAAGGTAGACAATAGATTTTGCTGCTATGGATTTTAGTGTATAAGGGAAACATGTTCAGAAGCCCATAAAGATCTGAATACATAATTATTAGTAATGATGATTTCTATGAAAATTAACAAAGTAATATGTGAAAGTGAAAGAAAGGTTTTTGAGGGGTTAGGCACCCTACTATAAGGAAGGGACATTTATATTGAGACTTGATAGATGAGTAGGAATTGGCCAGGTTGGGCTATAAAGAGGACCCAGTGACAGCACACATACACAGGTCTAGAGATGGGCAAGAAGCAGACTGATTGGAGTGCCTAGAAGTAAGGGGCCAAGGGTGTTATCCAGACTTGTTTACAGACTCTAACACAAGGGAACTAAGGAAAAGATGGTGGTGAGAACCAAGGGGGGCTCGGTAACAGTGAGGACACGGGCTTAGAGTGCCTTACCTCAGCAATGACGGTAGTTTCCCTTTCCAGCTTTCTTGGGCTGTCTCTAGCTCAGAGCTCTTCCAGGTCTCTGGTACCTGGCCATTCTCATGTTTTTCTGTTCTAAGTTAAGCCTTAAGTTCTTGGGACATACCTCACTTGTCCTGGCCTTGGGCCTCTACAGAAGCTGAGGAATTGTACCTTTTTCCTTACATGATACCCTGATGTGCCTGCCCATGTCTGCATCACATCCCCTGTCTCTCACACACACACACACACACACACACACACCTGGAGCACGTGCTCTTCCCATTTTCCTAATACTTTTGTCCTGGTCCTATTAAAATACTACCTCCTCAGGGTAGTATATATAATTCCCTCATGCTCCAGAAATATCTCAGCTTGCTTTCTTGGCAATATAGTTTAATTATTTCTTACTTAATATTTTAGTTTTTAAGTTATGCAATCTTTTTGATAATTATTTGACTACCAGCATATCTATGTTATAAGTTCCACAATAGCAAGAACCATATTTTCATGTCTAATATGTAGTATATAGTATATAGTTCCTTATTACACCACCTAGTAGGTTCTCAATAGTATTTGAATGCATGAATGAATTAATGAAAGAAGGACTGGCAATTCAGAGATAAGACTGAGATGAAAAAAATAGATTAATGGTCTCAAATGGCTTTTGATGACTTATCAGATCAGTTTAATTTTTTTAATGTACACTCAAAATATGTTGATTTGTGTTTTATATTATATGCAAAGTATGTATTATAAAATATATATATGGGTTTGGCTTTGGGTCCTTGGATCAGTTACTTCCACTCATCCATTAGAAAATCCATAGAATAGGATTAATATGAGTATTTTTTATAGTGTTTTAGGGAGTGATTGGATAAAATAATGCATATTGATCCTAAGCACGGTGCCAGGCTAATTAGGAAGTGTCACTAGTGTTATGGTGATAATGATGTAACACTGACAGATGACTAAGAGACATCAGAAATCCTCTTAATTTCTTTCTTTCTTTTTTTTTTTTTTTGGATACTGGGGATTTAACCCAGTGGCACTTTACCACTGAGCTACATCCCCAGCCCTTAGCTTTTCATCACTATAACAGAATACCTTAGACATTTAACTTAGAAAGAGGAAAGGTTTGTTTTGTCCATGGTAGAGGTTCTAGTCCATGATGGGTTAGACCTATTGCTTTAGGCATCTAGTTGAGGTATGGATAGCAATGGTGAGGATCTCATGGTGGAGCAAACTGCTCACCTCATGGTCAGGTTAAAAAATAGAAAGAAGGAGTTAGGATTCCACGGTCCCCTTCAAGGACAAGCTCCTAGTGACCCAACAACCCTCTACTGGGCCTCATCTTTTAAAGATTCCTCCATCTTCCAGTAACACCACCCCGGGGACCAAAAGTTTTACACGTGGTCCCTTGGGGGACATTCAAGATCTAAATTTTAGCAATATATTAAAAAGAAATTTTAAAAACTAAATATGATACTTCAAATATGTGCATTTTATTGTACTTTAATTTTACCTCAATAAAGCTATGAAAAAAAAGCCAAATATAAAATATTTAAGGTAATAGTGATGGCATCACATTATTACTGAAAAGCCCGGCATTCAAGTAATATTTATTATGTGTGTCAGAGGATGTGAATTCAGTTTTCCATTTTTTAAAAAAAATTATGGATTTGGGGAGACTGCTTCATACCAGATTAACCTGAATATTCTTAACTTTTCTTCAGTAAAGTGGTTAAAGAAGAACTACTAGGAATAAATGATGTTGGGGCATCGTTTTCTTATTCTTCTGGTGCTTGCATCAGTAACATAATCAATCTCTAGTTTCTTTAATGATTTTAGGACACCTGCCCTTGGGGGAGAGCTCATTTCATTATAACCAGCCAGTATAAATTATGAATCCACTTAAATGGACCCTCAAATCTATAGTGCACAGCTGCACTCCATAAGCAGATCATGCCCACCCTTTCATCCTGTAACTCTGCTCTTCCTGAAAGCCACCTCTCGTTCTGCTGTCACAGGGAACTGAGAAAGACTTCCAATAAAGACTTTAGTCATTTACTACTTTTTGAAATTCACAGTTTTGTGAAAAAGGGAGTTTAGTATTTTTATTCCATGGCTCAAGGAGTATTTTGTATGGCCATTGGATGCATGCATCCAAGGCTGGTGGCTCTTGCTGGGAATTTCAACAGACACGACTACAAGTTGTTCTGCACCAGTGCTGGGGAGCTGAAATGAAATCTCTTAGGATGGAGAATTTTCTGTCCCCACAGCACAATACCTTAGGCCAGGTAATTTGGGAAGAAAAGAAATTTATAGTTCCAGAGGCAGGGGAATCTAAGAACACAGCTGCAGCATCTGCTCAGCTCTAGTGAGGGCCCCCCTTGCTGCATTATAACATGGCAGTGAGGCAGCTGGCTAGGGTCACTTTTCCTCTTCTTATAAAGACTACAAGTTTATCTTGTCCTAATCACCTTCCCCAAAGCCCCACCTCCAAATACTACTAATATATATCTTTGGGGATTAAGATTGCAATACAGGAACTTTTGGGGGGCAGATTCAAACTATACCACCTTTTGAGCTAGATCATGAATGATATGAGGAGAGGAGTGGGTAAGAGAGAGTTGTGGGTACAGCAGCTCAGGTCAGTTCAAGCAAAGGGCAACAAATAACATATTGCTGTTCAAAGGCATAGAGAGTGTCAGAGGAGTCGGCCTGTGGTTGTGAGAGGTCAAGATGAGGAATTTGTAGCCTCAAAAAAGACTTGCTACAGAAAAGATCTATGTGAACGTGAATTATTATAACAACTACAGTCGAAGAGGGCCACTCCAGTTTCATATGGTTTTAAAGATAAAAGAAAGGTGCATAAAAATCCCCAGTACCCCTCCTTGCTATTAGAGAAGTGATAGATTGAAATATAATTGTGGAAAAAGGAAAATATTAAATGAGAGGTAGAAAGATGGGATGGAGTGTGGTAAGGAAACAGTCAGACAATCAACTGAAGGAGAATCACAAGGAATCTACTCCAAACGGGTTAACAGAATTTGCCCTTTGGTTTGAAGGTGCAAGAGTAAGGTAGCACATTAGCCTATTCATAAAGAACTTTATCAGTTTTTTTTGTTACTCTATCCAGAAAATTGTGTCTAGCCAAATTCCCATCAGGTTCCTGATATTTGCAGGACTTATTCAAGTGGAAAAATTCTTAACTCAGGAAATTGAGCTTCTGCCAATATAGTTTTAGGCCAACACCAACTTGAAATTTTTGTCAACTATCCTAATGATAATTTCTCAATGATAATTTCTCAATGATAATTTCATATATTATAGATGTACATGATTTCATATTTCAGGAGTATTCCTGTCTTAATTGCATCTGTCCTTTGTTAAAATCTAAGGTGAACTAGAAATGCATTGCTTTGCCATAGATGAGGTGATTTCTGTTTGCTTGACTGTTTTCTTTGAAATGCAGATTCCACCGCCTCTTCACCTTTTAAAGCAAAGTAAGGCACAAATATAGTAATTCAGCTTTAGTTATTCAGTCTCTTAATCTTTTAAAAAATATTTATATTTTAGCTATAGTTGGACTCAATACTTTTGTTTTATTTATGTATTTTTATGTGGTGCTGAGGATCGAACCTAGGGCCTTGCACGTGCTAGGCGAGCTCTCTACCGCTGAGCCACAACTCCAGCCCTGGTCTCTTAATCTTTAACATCATGCTAGAGTAGTATATCCATTCTTCTTAGGGATTTTACTATTATGTCAATGTAGTGTGCAGTAGGGTAAGATCAAATTCAAACCTGAAATCTGTGGGAATGCCTCATCTTCAGCCTTTACACCACTACTCCCTGAGTTTCCTTCCTGAGTTTTTCATCTAAGAGGATGGGTTCCGAGAAAGTGAATCTGATTAACTCCTTAGATGACTTTCTTAGATCAATGAAAAGGGCATCCAATTGAATGTGCTAAAACATATGGGAACATATGTTAGAGGGATTTGTAAGAGGGGCCTTCAGTGGCAGAGAAAGATGGTATGCTTAATTGAATTTGTCATCCTGCAGTTAAATTTTTGTTTGACTTACTTCTTTTCTCTTCCCTCCACAGTTGTACGATGATAGATGGAGTGATGATTCTTCCTGTGCTAATGATGATTGCTTTTCCTTCCCCGAGTGTGGAAGGTAAGGGACATGCAGCTATTTGGATTAGGATAAGTATATTGTGTATCATTTGGCTTGTTGTAAACTAGGCAGGTCTTAACCCTATTAGCCTCAACACACCTTTTTTATAATAAATATTTGGTAAAGCCCCTTGACTGTTTTGAAGTACAATTCTGATCCCTATTATAATTTAAAAGTATTTGATATAAAAACCTGGCATAATGCACCATCTAAAATAAATATTAAGAAGAAATAAAGAAATTTCTGTAATTAACAGTATAGCAATATATATAAACAGATTCCGTACATTCAGTCACAGTCAGCATGAGTATGCTTGAAGACATAAAGAGGTAGAGTAGCTTCCCAGTCCCCATCCATGGTTCCATTTTTCACAGTTCTAGTCGCTCGTGGTCAACCATGGTGCAAACATATTAAATGGAAATTCCAGAAATAGATAATTCATAAGTTCTAAATAATTTTTATTATGTATAATATGATTTTTCTGTTATTGTTGTTAATCTCTTAGTGTGTTAAATTATAAATAAACTTCATCATAGGGTATATATGAGGAACAAACATAGTATATTTAGGGTTTGGTACTCTCCATGATTTCAGGCATCCATTGAACATTTGAGAACAGGTATCCCCAGAACAAGGGGGGGGGGCTACTCTAGCACATGCTATGTATGTAATAATCTTCTGTATCCTCAGAAGGAGGTTGGTACTGTTGTGTGGTATTAGTGTCACAAGTAGCCTAACCTTCCATGATTGCATTTTCTGAATAAAATCCAAATTGAGAACTGCTGACCTTCTGCTGTAGTTTGAATCTGGAATGAGCCCCCATGTGTTAAAGGTCTAATTCCCAACTTGGCACTATTGGGAGGTGATAGAAACTTGAAGATTTGGGGCCTATAGGAAGTCTTCTGGTTTTTATTTGGGTTGTTCCCCCAAAAGGGGTTTGTGGGACCCCACCCCTTCCACTTTTTATCTTTTGCACTTGGCCTTGAGGTTAATAGAGTTCTTCTGCCACATGCTCCAACCATGATATACTGTGCTGCCACTGGCTAAAATAATGGGACCAATCTGTCATGGACTGAAACTCCCCAAACTGTGAGCCCAAAGTGAACCTTTTCTCTTATTACGTTGATTATCTTGGGTACTTGTTATAGTAATGGAAAGCTGATAACATGCCCTCAGGTTATAGGATATTTATATGTTTTTGGAGATTTACATATAGTGACGGTTTAATCTACACTATTTGTAATAGGTACTAGGCTCAATTAATTTTACCAAGATTTTTCATGTAAATGAATGTGTACTGGGACAGTCAAAATTTGTGTGGGCATTGGCTGTCTTTGTCTATGTGGGCTGTGATCACAAAAATGTCATAAACAGGGTTGTACATAAACAACAGGAATTTATATTTCAGTTCCAGAGGCTGAGAATTCCAAGTTCAAGATGCTAGCAGATCCAGTGTCTGGCAAGGGCCCATTTCTCCTTCAAACATAGCAGGCTAAACTTTAGCTGTGTGGTACCACCAAGGCATTTCAAGGACTTTGGCATCTCTGGTCTCCTGCCAATTTTCAAAAAGTTGCTTAGAGGTAGTACTACTCCTTTTGAAAGAATAAAATGTATTCATAATTCTCTGCATTTGTATGTAATTTCTTTTAGCATGTTGTTATATAACTCTGTATATACATAAAACATAAATACGCCTTACTGTGCATCAAGCTGTGCCCACTCTGTTTTAGAAGGTTCCTCCATAGAGAGTGGTGCGTACAGTGTGAATTCAGCTTCCTTATAATAGGTGGGACAGTAAGGCTAAGTGAGGGACATTAACCAGTTATAAGTTCTTTGGGATATAATGTTATATTTTATATAATTGATAAGTTTCTAGGGAAGTAACTGGAAAGTTAGTGTAGCCCATACTGCGGGGACATCTGTGCTGAATCTTCTAGAATGGATTTTGTTATTTTTTAAGCTTATACTATTTGATCTATTTCTACTTCCTTTTCATATTCATTGACATACATTGTGCTGCTTCAGTATCCAATATTATGGCCAGTAGTCAATGTGACACTTGAAGTGTAGCAATGGAATTGAGGTGTGCTGTAAGTGTAAGGAACAAACTTGATTTTTGAAGACAGTGAGGATGTAAATTCCACTTGTTTCTTTTTTTTACTATGTTGAGCAAATTTGGAATTACATAAGGTTACTAATATTTTGTTTCTCTTGGACAATGGAGCTATAGCCCACTTTAGATATTCAGTGTGTAGACGCTGCTCTAAGCAATATTGTTAAAGACTTTGTGATAATATGACGCTTGTGTCAATTAGTGCCAAGGATGTTTGAAGAAAGTTTTCCACTGTGGCAGTGTGAAAGGATTAATAGGAGGAAAAGGGCTTTTATAAAAGCTGACAAGATTTGTTGAGTTAGCAGGGGTTTTCATCATTAAATGTTCATCTGGGGCAATTGTGCCCCAGGAAATACTTGGCAATTTCTAAACACATTTATTTCAAATGAGTTTCTAGGATTCCCTGTCTTCTTTTAAATTACTTAACAATTTGATTTTTTATTGTTATTTTTTAATCTAAAGAATCTCAGGACTAAATTCTCTCCAAATGTCTTATATCTTTCCCTAGGTGCCTTATCAGTTCTTTGTGGTATTAAGTAGTACCTTTGGGTTTACACTGGCATCATGGACTTAAGTGTGATGTAGATAAGATAGAAAGAAAAAGGAGCAGAAGAGAAATTGAGGTGGAAATGTAGTATAAAGAGAGAAGGGGGTTGGAGAAAGAGTGGGAAAAAGAGAGGCGCAAATGGAATTTATGGAAATGTCAATAACATCTCTATTGGTTGTTTTTTCCTGATCCCAGCTCTTAAGCTGCCCAGAGAGTCCAGCAAATGATATTTTCATGCCACAGTAAAAACACATAATGAAACTAGTTTATCTGGGCTGATACAGAAATGAACGGCCACTAAGGTTTTGCTATTCTATCTACCACCACCACCACCACCACCAGAATGTTTACAAATATGGACCAGAGTGTGGGAAAGAGTGTCTCATCCTTTAGCTGAAATACTTACTATCTTTTTTTTAAAAAAGAACATCCAGTGAGTGCTCTGACCTAGAGTGCTCCAGTCATAATGGCCATTGCCTTGTGCTCTCTTCTCTCCCTGGCTCAGCTCCATGTTGACTGTCAATAGCATATTCTATGAAAGGCACTCTTGTTTTTATGTATGTACCAGTACCTTTTTTTTTTTTTTAAACACAGAAAAACTCTATTTGTAACATACTCTAATGTACTCAACGTTAGTTGTAAAGCAAATGTTAAGTATAAAATACTTAGCCAAAAGAGGTAAATTCCAGGGCAGACAAGGAAAACATTTGTAATAGTACTATAGCTTATCTGGTGCTGAGCTTTATAGATTACCAAGTTTAAAAGAAAACAGGACCCATATTTAATGTTTATAGAGTAGAGGAACCAGCTTATTAATTGTGCATCAGTGATATTATTGATACTAGATGACATCATTGGGACCTAAATAAAAGTCATAGAGGTTTTTTTTTTTGTTGTTGTTGTTGTTTTGATACTGAGGATTGAACTCAGCAGTGGTTTACCACTGAGCCATATCCCAAATCTTTTTATTTTTATTTTTTTAATTTTGAGATAAGGTCTTGCCAAGTTGTCAAGGGCCTTACTGAATTATTGAGGCTGGCCTCAAACTTGTGATCCTCTTGCCTCAGCATCCTAAGTCTCTGGGATTATAAGTGTACACCACTGTGTCTGGCGATATTTTGTTCGGATGTATTTTGTAATCCATTAAAAAACAAACAAGGGTCAGACATGGTGTCATGAGGCTGTAATCTCAGCTACTGAGGAGGTTAAAGTAGGAAGATGGCTTGAGCTCAGGAATTCAAAGGCAACCAGGGCAACAGAGCAAGACCCCCACCTCCGAAACAACCAAAGAAGGATGGGGAAAGGTTGGTCAGTGTACACTGAGTTATAGTCAGACAGTTCTGGGTTTCTGTTGCATAGTAGGATGGCAAGTAATAATAATAATGTGTATGTCAAAGAAAGCAAGGAGGAAGAATTTTGGATGTTTTCACTACAAATAAATGATAAGTGTTTGAAGATATAGGTGTGCTTACCATGATTTGAGCATTATGCATTGTATAAAAGCATCAAAACATTACTTGTCACCCATAAATATGTACAAATTTATGTGCTCTCCTCCAAAAAAAAAAAAAAAATCAAACCAACTCTTCCTCCTTTGTCTCCCCGATTTTTTTTTTCATTGCTGAGGACCAAGTGTTTCTTAAACAGTGATTAAAAATGGTGATAACACTTCAAATGGTAGTTCCAAAATCATGGACCTACTATTGGATAGAGTTTGTGTGTATTTCAGAAACTTTTTTAAGTTCTGTGCAACTCTAAATGCTCTGGGCAAAAAGGGACTCTTTTTTTTTTTTTTTTTTGTTGTTATTTTTGTTTGTTTCCAAATACAGAAAATTGGAAAATACTGTGTACTGTAATGATCCCTTTGATGATTGCCCATAATATTTATTTATTTATTTATTGCTTAATACGTGTGAATTATTGGGCTAATCGCCTTATGTTATTATTTCCCATATTAATTAGTACTTATTTTTTCCTAAAAAAATTCTCTCATTCGATGATATGGTAAAGAAAAAAAAGTTATTCTGAACAAAAGAGATAAATTATAGTAACAAGAAATGAGAGCAACAAATTTAACACTGAGATACTTCTTTTACATTCAATCATCCCTTCAAGAACTTCCTGAATCCTCAATAATGAGAAATTCAAAGAAAGGCTTTTCTATTCTTCCCCCCAGTGGCAAAGAGGGGCACCTTTGTGGACCCTAACAAAAAGTCCATTGAAGTTATCCCCTTCCTTCCTTCATTGGGTAATTGGGCTGGAAAGTCTGAGTGGCAATGGCTTTGAAAATACTAAAATCCAGTTAACTCAGAAAATAATTTAGGACTTAGCAGTCTTCTC